CCATATTTTTGGCCTATGTGCGCTTTTATTCGAAACCTAAATGTTTCGGTACCGAGTATCGAGAGTATTGGGTACTTAAAAGTATTGACTCAGCACATCACTACTGCTGTCTTCTCTACTATGACGTCACCAAAACAGCTGATTCTGTCAAAATCACTGAGAGCCGAGTAGCGGTATCGTCATCGGCGCCACCTCTGTATTCTCTCCACCGTGGTGCTTAATGACATCCTTTTATGAACCATACTTTAACAACTTCCCTGTCCAATGAGTCATATGTGACTCACGAGAGCGTGTAAAAATAAGTTCATGAGTCACATGTGACTCACTTTTGTGCACAATTTCGGACAAATTTTTTGGTGTGAACGGTACGAAATTTTTTTTAAATGATACGTGGACGTACGGTAAAAAACCTAACTAAAAATATATGAAAGAAAATTTCGAGATTTTTTGTCCTAAAAGTTCTCTTTTAGTAAAAAGAAGAAGCGTACAATAAATATAACTCAAATACAAAGTATTAGACTTTTATTCATAGAAAAATGTTACAAAATCAGAAATGTTTCACATTATAGCAACCTAAACATAATGCTTTTTTACACTTTTTGCACTCGGTAAGTGCTTGTTTAGCTTTTCTAGCCAATAATCCTCTTTCTTTCAATTTGGCGTAGCATCCGCACCTTTTTCGTACAAGTTTATTGCAAATATTTCAATTTTATCAAATATAACCTCAAATAAACTAGTAAAGGGCAAGACAACTTTTACCCATATCTAATGCCTGGGTTATAATGCACGGGACGGAACGTAACAAATCGTAAGGATCTGTTTAATTTAGGTCTCCGGTTCGTTACGTTCCGCCCACTATTTCAGAATTCGGTACAAAAACGCCCTATCTCAGCTGCCGATTCAAAAACGCTCTATCTCAACATATTTTCAATATATTTTCAGTAAGATAGGATTTTTGAACCACCAACCGTTTTCGAGCTGGCTGCGGATATTTTCATTCATTAGTAACGTTAGAGGTTATACAATTACTTAGATACAAAATTCAACCTTTGAAAGGTTCCCACAAAACTTTACGGCTTTAAAGCATTGCTTCGCACTTTGCTGTGTTATCACTAACTTTGTAAAAATATATCCATACTTTAGATTTTGGCGGTGTGATTGCTTAAAGCAATTATTTTTCATAAAAACGACGCTGTGGAAAGTTTCTTCAATAGAAAAAATATGGCCGACAAGATATGGCACTTGCTCAAATTGATTGATACCAAGTAGGTATCGAAACAACGATTCGAGTAGTTTTTATCGAAACAAAAGTAACGAGTACATACTCGTATTTACTTGTATCGGAATATCCCTAAATGTAACTCAAAAACAACTTTGCTCGATGTGTTCACATGTGACTCATTGAACGTGGCAAAGAAACTGTTTCGTCCTACGTCCATGAGTCACATATGAGTCATAATATAAAATAACAAAAACAACTTAAAGCAATATATAACAATTTATAAAAATTATATGTTATGGTATATATGGACGTTCTTTAGCATATTAGAGCAAAAAACCTGTGGACGTGGGGAATTAACCAAATGCATTGTATGAGGACAGGGAAGTTGTTAAGTTGAATGGAATTTGTAGAAATATGCTTCAAAAAAATATTTATTAGTATTTACCAAACCCTTTAACTAAATTAACGATTTGGTACAACCTAGATGAATATTAGAAGCTTTAATATATTTAGTTATAATTACCAACCCATGGCAATAGTTCCTAATCNCGGCATGACGTGGTAAGGCACTTATACAACCGACCTAATCCAGGAATCGGGGACCGTTAGCGGCCAGTTCTTTAAGCTTTACTGACCATTCATCCATCGGCATGGGTACATCAACACCACTAGCATAAATTGCTTTAAAGAGGGGGGGAAGGAAAAGAGTGGTCGGGAATATATAGGTAGGATGATAGGGCTGGGAAAGAGGAATCGGTTGGGTTGGGGACATCGGTGCGGGCGTCTGTGCATGTGAACTGCAGCCCACGTTCGCCACCCGAAGATCGAATAAGCAACCGTGAAATCCAGTCCTACACCCTGTACCCCTCTTGGTTCATGGTGCTGTGCCCGGTGGTGGCATAGCCCCATCCCCAGAGGCAAGGAGACGGACGTGATGCGAGTATATGTATGTGATTTCAAAACTTTATAACCGTTTTTCTCGAGTTTTGCTTTTTTGAGTTATGACTCTATTGAAGTAAATGAGCGATATGTATATTCACATATACATATAGTATTTTAACTTTTTACATATATACTTTGTATATATTTTTTGTATGTTATATATTTTGCACTTTTTCATTTGTAATCCAGCCGTTCTGGAGGCATGCTCCATCGTCATTTCAGAATGGGATCCACTCAATGAACTTTTTGACTGTAGTCTCTATCCTGACTCCAATGATCCAAATAAATGTGAGGATCCCACTAGAAGACGTGGCTATTGTTACGATAATGAATTCACCTGCTATGATCGCTCCTGTATACCACATCAGTGGCAATGTGATAACATCAAAGATTGCGCTGCTGGTGAGGACGAAGACAGATGTCTTGTATGTGATTATCGCGATGAATTCCGCTGTCGTTCAAACGAAAAGTGTGTAGCTGAGCCTGTTCGTTGTGATCTTAAATACGATTGCCTTGACGGATCTGACGAGGAAGAGTGCGATGATTATGGATCTGCAGGGGAGGACATAACTTCCTTTGACGAAGCTGCGTTAAATTTATTTCCCCGAATGTTTTCCTATGCTAGTTTTCCGTCGTCTAATCAAACCCACGAAGGTTTGTATATCTACATCACTTATCCAACTGACGATGAAAACAGCACTAAATTTCAAGTGCGCGAAAATGCAAATCGTACAAGAGGCATATCACCTGAAGAAGTCGCAAATAGTGTGTCCGGAGACGGTCCCAAAGGATTTGGTGAGTATTATTGTCTTACGTCTGTAGAGCTCGTTGGATTGGTGAAATATTTGTAGTGAACTTCCCTGACAGCAAAGAAATCATGATGACCAGCGATACGGAGAACAAATTCAAATATTCTTCAGATACTGCCACATCACGCCCGGCAACCTGTGACCACAGCACGGCTACTAGCAAACTTAAAGTTCCCTTTAGTGCCACCACTCCTTTGAAACCAGCTCATTCAATGCGAGTTACGGTTACGACTGAACCAGGTAGCCTCTTCAAGGTGGATAATGGCAACGGGCAACGAGCACCGACGAAAGCTTGTGCGCCACATCAGCTGCGTTGTGTGAGCGGCGAATGCATCACAGTCAATGAGCTTTGTGATAAGGTGAACGATTAATGTATTGGAAAATGTGTAGAAGTACCTAAATTCGTAGTGTTAATTGAATTTTCAGAAAATTGATTGCCCGGACGGGGCTGATGAACTGATGTGTGTTTACAAGGAGCTGCGCAGTTCGACAACACCAATAAAAATACGCAGCAGTACAGGACGTACATCGCGGAGTAGAAGTGTTCACACGCAGTCAGCAGTGATATCGACAGCAGTCCGTGCTGATAAAAGATCATTGACACGTACCACAATAAAGAAAATCTAAAAACCTGATGTTGCGGCAGGTCATGCCAGAATAATAGAATAGAATAGAAAAAGTGGTTTTTGAGCAGATTCTATCCCATTATTCAGTAACAAAAGGTTTTGTACTAAAGCAGTTTTCTCGCTCCCAACATCGGCTTCTTTCGCGATGAAGAATGTTGCTCACTCTAGTTTCTGGTTATGTTAGGAATAAAACCTAAACCTCTTCATACTAATTCGTTGGCATCACTTGCACGTGAACAAGTCCAGAATGCCAACCGTTTAGATATAAAAAAAAAATTAAAAATTGTGTGTCGATAGAAATTTTTACGCTGATTTTAACCATGCGAAAATTATGTGTGACAATTAAAAAATAAAGATATAAAAGGTCAATGTTAAACTTTTTGATTTCCTGAAATATTAATATCTTATAAACTAGATAACAGATTAAAAAACTTTAAATAAAAATACTTAATTTACCTTTCAGTTGATGTACATAATTTACATGCTTTTTTGTATTTTTAAGCCGAAGACGAAAAAAAATAATTACAAAAATAACCCTGTTTGAAAAAAATTGCAAGTTTATGCTAAAAAAATGTATATTATATGGAAATTACAGGTCTGCTTGAGTTTTGAGAATTAAGTGATATTAAACAATACAAATAAACAAAGCAAATAAAAGAGGTTAAGCTTCAACTTTTCTATTTTTGATATGTATAATATCTCGGGCCGATATGTATAATATCTTGACCGATTTCTTTTGTCTATTTAATGTTTATAATTTGTTTATAAAAGTCTCACGCATTACATAACCAGCACCAAATAAATCCAAATTTCAAACTTCGTACAAAAATTATAAAAACAACAAACTTTAACAATTATACCCAAAAATTTTAAACTTGTTATTAGGGATGTGCCGGGTATCCGGTCGTTTTTTGGTTATCCGGTTATCCGCCGGATACTGGCTAATATCCGGCCGGATTCCGGATATCGATTATAGAAGATTCAATTTAGAAATTTAACCCAGATTTTGTATTTTGTAATCCAATTTAATAGTATCTAATTAGTAATCAAAGTCTCCGCATTATCGGGCAACAACCTATTTTTATTTTCAACATAAATGATACCCGATGCACTAAATACTCTTTCCGAGTTCACTGAGGAAGGTGGCGCGCAGAGATACTTCATTGTCAGTGTAAACAAATTTGGAATTTCTTTGCGGATATACTTTCACCAAGTTAAGGGATCTTCTTGTCTGGATATCTTAGCTTAGCTGGTAGCTGCAAATATTTCTCTATTTCTAGTTCATAAATCGCTGCCTTTTTCATGTACGTTCGCTGCCTTGTCTACCAATCGTTTGGCTATCCATATCACTAGAAACACTAGAATCAGCATCAGAGCCGTTGGCGATTTCCTCAAAGCATTGCCAAATATCCTCGTGAGCTCGATCTTCGATGGAAGCTTTCACTATAGTTCGGCATTTTTCATATGATTCAACTGGTTTCTCCATGCTAACTGATTCATAATTTCGAATTAGTTCATCAGCAACCCAGTTTTTAGCTTTATTGGCGTCAGAAAAAGAAACGAGTTTTGAAACGTGGGTCACAAAATGTTGCAATAGTGAAGCATTGTCGTTGTTGAATGTTTAGTCCTATAATCAAGTAAATTTTTTTATTAATAGTTCTATAAATACTTTTGATAAGTGAATCTCAATTTCATACCTTTTGCGACAGAGTTGCATTGGCTTCAGTTTATCAGGTTTATTCAGTGAAATCGCAGGATAAGTTTATCAGAAATGTGTAAACGAGTTTCCATAAAAATTTTGACAGTTCATTTATAAAGTTTACACAATTATAGTTTTATACGGTTTACATTGCATTTATAAGCTTTGATGAATACCCTTAGTAGTTTTGACTTTCATCAAATTTGATAGTCGTTTGACATGTTCTGTGGACCGTGTAAAAAGTGCTGTTTGATCAAACTGATAAACAAAGTGAAAGAACAAGTGCCCGATAATTTAAATAAAAAGAAGAAATGAGCAAGAAGAGAAAATAATTCGACTTCATTTTAGAACTAATAAATTATTTCAAAAATCTCCAAAACCTTTTTTGTGGTGATATAACTTCAACAAAAACTGAAATTGTATGGGTTTTTTGACGTGTGTGACCATCTAATTACACAGACATATCTGTGCACAATAATTTAAATAAAAGCACATAATTGAACAAGGAAAAAGTATACGACTTAGTATTAGTATTAACAAATGAATACAAAGCTTTCTTAAGCTTCTCTTCAACTTCATTCAAAACGAAAAACTGAAATTTGATGGGTTTTTTGAAGCGTGTAAGTTAAACCATCTAATTACACAGAAGACAGTTTGACCAAACAATGTGACCATGTAAGGTCCATATAAGGCATCAACACACATGTGCGATTCTGACGGTGCGAACCTGTTCCGAAAAAATTACAACAATGCCGCAACTATTTATTGGAAATTGCAAACCTACGCGTTCGGAAACGAAAAAGGTTTATAGGCGGGTTCTGTATAATTTAAACAAAAATTAACGTAAGAAAACAAAACATCTTGATTGTTCAAAAGCAAAGAATTTGATGAAGATTGTTTTTTTGTTTGTTTATAAGATGCCATTTTTCACTGCGATAGCATCGCACAGATGTGTGCGTAATTGTGTTTTCGAAGTGGTAAATTCTGTAGCATCAGAAACGGTGCGGAGGTCGAGGTGAACTCGAGCCGGCAAAAAAGCAATATTGTGAAATTTATTAAGGGCAGCAGTCTACCGGATATCCGATCGGATATCCGAATCCGGCTGTTATTTTTTACAGGATATCCGGAATCCGGTTATCCGGCAAAATCTATATCCGACACATCCCTACTTGTTATTAAAAATTTTTAGAAAGCATGCTCGGCAATTACTATAAACTGCATTACTTAATTTTTTTTAAATTGGGATCAACTTATCAAATAACGTTAAATTACGGGCATCTAACTTGATTCACCGGGGAGTGACCAATCAAAGTTCGAGCTATATGACCTACAAGTAGGGATGTTGCGATATCATAAAACTATCGATACCTGTATCAAATGATGTATCAGAAGCTAAGTATCAATATAAATTTTAGTATTGGTATCGGAAATAAAATATCGATATTATATCCTTTTGATACAAAAATTTTTTGACATAATATGAATGATGCAGTTAATGAATATTAATATGAAATCTTTAAAAACTGCAGTACGTAATAAACATAATATGAGAAATGGCTCGGTTTTATCAGAAAATCAGTAAATCCTTCTTTAAATTTGTTCTATGCACGAAAATTTCAGATTTTTCAAACAAACGTTGCACTTAACAGAGCTTTCGTCAATCTTGGTAATGTGATTCCATACTTTACTTTTCGGCGTAAAAGCAGAAAAACAGAAATAAAACCATCAATTTCGTTACGCTGCATATGTACTGTGTTTATACGGTTTGAATACATTACGATGCCATACAAGTATAGAATGCTAGTATTAAATGGGCATAAGAAATAAAATATCGCGCAAAGGATAACATAGAGTCACTAATGAGGAAATATACTTAAATAGAATTCTAGGGATAATAAGGCTTGTATGAAGCTGATATTGATATTTATGGTATAATGGTTAGGTTGGGTTATTCTGCCTAGCTGTCCGCCCACATAGACCAATAGGTCCCTGGTGGTGCCAGATGGAGATAGAGGTTCAGTTAAATATATTCAAAGTATACATCATTTAAGATGTCAACGCTTTTTGAGAATTTCAGCAGTGCTTGAAGCCCAAGTGTGGTTACGTCTTCAAGATTATTAAACTCTGGAGCTCCGATATTATGATATATTAAGCGGTATCGAAAGAAAATACCCATATGGGTATCAATAGTATCGTCACCTTAGTATCGAATACCGATTTACCCAGTATCGAAAGTTACAGGTTTTAGTCCGAAGTTTTTCTCCCTGCAAGTTCATGAAAAGTGTCAAACGTTAGGCAGGGTTGCATTTGTAAACAAAAACAGAACCTTAAGCGCCACGGAGACAATCAAACAAATACGTCAAGCATTGCATATGTGTGAGGTTGGCTCGTAAATTCAACAAACAATTTCTTTTTCTTGTCCGCGCACTTGCTCACCACGACGATCAAAAGGCAAGTCCGCTTGTTTTTTGTCAAGCATAACGTTACCAGCTGGAAGTGTGGCCAGAATTCGGAGAAGTCTGTTAATCAATGGAAAAGCATATTCGTCGCATTTACCAAGAACTTCTGC